ATGCTGACAATAACCAGCTGAATATATCTACACCATGGTGAAATAAGCAATGCTGCTGAAAGTGTCTGTTGGGGATTTGGATGGGGAACAACAGACATCAGCTCAACCCTAGCAAAACTGAGTGGGTTTAGGTTTTGGAGCCTGCTGCATCTGAGAATTTAGTATCTTTGGTGCACTACCCCAGATGGATCCTGTTCCTTATGGATTCATAACTTCCGTTCAAGGACCAGTTGGCAGTCATGGCTACTATCAGTTTTGCACAAGTTTGTGTTGCGTACCAATTGCACTTTGTTCTTTGATCGGAAGGACTCTACTCTCAATCAGTCATTCCCTGGTCATCACTTGAACAAACTACTCTAGGGTTTCTACCTAGAGCTGCCCTTGAAGTGCCTCCAGAAGCTTTAACTGCTGCAAAACACAGCCGCATAGGCTACTGTGTGCTCCTAGATCTGAACATTTTATACCTCTACTCTGCAAGTTGCATTGACTGCCAGTCTGCTTCTGGGTTTAATTCAATGTTATGGTTTTGATCTTTAAAGCCGTACATGGCATGGGGCCAGTTTATTTGGCCTCTCCCTGGCTATATCTACCTGTCCCATCTGTTCTGAGGATTTGTTTGTCTTTGGTTCCTATGATTTTAATTTTGTGCACTGTCCAAAGTCACATGTATGAGATAGTGGTTTATGGATTAAGTAAATAAATAAATCTTAGATCCATGTTTCTGTGTTTGCTTGAGCAGATGTTTGGTTTGGGAAGGTGACTGGAGAGTTGATATTGTCATGGCTTCATTTAAGCAGGCAGAGAATGGCAATCCTATTAAACTTCTGCTGACCGTTAAGGAAGAGGTAAATAGACTTTATGTTTTGATGTCTTGTTTATTTGTTGTCTAGTGACACTTGATCCTTCTAAATTTAAAACGTTTACCATGTTTGTAAAAAAAGTAAAAATGTCTTCCAATTAAATCAGTTTCATCAGTGATATCCTATTTTCTGCTACCCTAAAAGCTTTATTATGTGAACGCTAGTAGATCTACTCTTTAAACCTCTTCTGATTCCGATGGTTCATTTCTTGAATCCTAATTATATTACTATTGCTAAAGTGTGACTGTGTGGCAGGGGTGGGTTTCTCGCCCCGTTCCAACCGGATCGGTTGGAACGAGGCCGGCGGCGTCCTCACGCATGCACGCGGCGCGTGCATGCGTACTAGCGTCTGCGCAATGCTCCAGCTGCTCCTGGAGGATCGCGCAGGCGTTCTGCGCATGCGTGGAAGGCGCGAAATTTGAAAAACCCGGGTAAGGAGCCGGCCCGGGTGTGGGGGCGGGTGGGGGCGCGGGGGGGGCGGGGGGGGGGGGCTTCGCGGGGGGGGCGGGGGGGGGGGGCTTC